AACTACCAGAGAGACAGGTGTAGCTCCAAGCTCTCAGTTGCAGCACACTGAATTTTCTTCTGTGTATTTTTTCCTAGTCTAGGTCTGCTCTTTCATCTCCTATTCCAGCAGCCTTGGCTTAGAAAGATAAAACCTTCCTGGGGGGAAAAGAGTTTGCAACTCATTCTTGAGGTTTTTGTCTGATGGCTGATCCGAATGATGCGGCAATCCTAGAAGCGAGCAAAAGCAGGCTGGGTCTCTAATCAAAGTGAGTGAGCAAAAGAGATGTGCTCAACAACACAAATGACTTGCAGAAGGATCATGAATGACCTACAGATCAGTTGCTGCTCACTAGTGTTTAGTAAATTCAGAAGGAGCAGGCAACTGGAGGAATGATTGCAAGCCCTCAGCGCCGCCTTTGGATGAGGTTCTTGGAGTCTCGTCTGTCTCATTCAAAGAGGTTCTTTGAATATCTTCAGACAAGCTTCTTTCCATCTCTCCACCTCTTTTTTTAATCCAGCTGATGGGATCAATGATTATTACTGCCCTTTGAATACACCTGGAGATCTACTGATGAATAACTATCATGCTACTTTCCTGATGCTTTTGTCCAAATTGTTCCAACAGCTCCTTCCCCTCAGAAGGCATCTGGGCGGCAGCATCTGGTGACCCAGTTCTTACTCTTGGATAGTATACCAAACTCCAGCACAGCGCAAAGGACAAGGTCACAGGTGACACTGTAAGCATGTCCCAAGATCTTCCATTGCTGTGACCTCAAATTTTCTTATAGAAACCCCAAATTTATTGGCACCACTTACTGGGCTGCTTTTAGTTGAGTGAAAGTCCTTGGGCAAGGACCTGTGGTCTGTCTTAGGATAATCACAAGATGTACCTGTCCAGCTCCACAGCGTTTATTGACTGGCCACAAACTGCAGTGTTTATGCAGTCCTGGTCCTCTTGGCAGTTTTATGACAAGCTCGAGTTTGAGGTTTACACAGCACAAACATCCTCCTGTGCCACTTAACAGGCTGCATGGCACTCTGGGAGCTATAGCGCAGCTCTGGACAAACTGCAGGCCTCCCTCTAAAGGGCCTCAAGAGGTATGTGGGAAGTGACCGGGTGCAGTCCCAAGGAGCCATGGACTGAGATGAAGCAAATTTGGCTTCCCCACCAGGTCAAGCCAATGGAAAGAGCTCAGCACTGCTGAAGAGAGCTTTTACTCTGGGCCAAAAAAACCAGCCACAGGCAGCCACGGGGGAGCACCTGGACCAGTCTCCATCACATTATCAATGCATGTGATGGAGATCATTTGAACAGGGCTACAGACTTTCATTAAATACATGTGAATGCATCTCTGCATTGTACGCATGTGAACACATTTCACTCTAACACTTCCCAGGTCCAAATCACAGCCCAGACAAGTTCAGAGAAGCAAAGGGCAACTTCCTGCAATTGTCTATTCCCACTCCAACATCTAAAGCACCACCTTAGTCATCCTTCCCTCAGGCTCTCTGACTAGCAAAGGGGAGGGAAGAAATTTCACCAGAAACTAAGAGGAAAACAATGTGTGAAGTATTCAGGCAGGCAATTTCTTGTAACAGTCTCGATTACATTTTGAGAGCTAATGGGAAGGTTTACCAGGTCCAACAGAAAGAGCTGTTGGGTCAGCCTCTTAATCGGTCATGGTAGTTGAAAACAAATACACACTAAGCAAACACTTTGCAAGATATATTACCTTTCCCCAGCTAGGCTGAGAAAGGCACCTGGAGAATAAACCAGCCCCCAAGTCTAACTATTTGAAAAGAGCCAACCTCTCACATAGCCGCTCTGCACTAGTGTGGTTCCCAATTTTGTTGGGGCTGCCTTGAGTATTTAGTAAGAGTGGGATGATCTTTAAAGTATTGCAAGAATTAGATGCCGGTGCATTGGCCAACGGGGAACACCACTTGGGGAATTTTACCAAGAAATAAAGCTGGACGTCTCAAAATGGCAAAAGGTTGCTAGTGAGTCAACTAGCCCTCACTGCAGCCCAGGAGGCAGCAGGGAAGGGAGGAGGAATGCTTGTCCCTGACGCCTGGGGGTGCTGCTCTCCTCCAAACCCATGCAAAGGCCAATCCTTGCTCTAGTCATGAAGAGTGGCAGGTAAGTAGTATGAAAGGCTGGCTGTGGATACAGGCCCCTGACACTTCACCAGCCCGACAAGGAATCGGCAGTAAAAGCCATCCGTATCTCAGGCCAAGATCACCAAACACTGAAGAAAGGCAGGAGATAACAATAGTACTTGAATGCACTGAAAGACCAGATCAGTTTTCCTCAGATATTTAACCGCAGGACCTGAACCTGTTCTCTAACTTCCCATTTTCACTGCACTTCAGTCATCCTCGGGTCTTGCCTTACACAGGAGAGCATATATATTTTTAAAATAAAGACAACCAGATAAGCAAACTGTCAGGGCAAGAAGAACAAGCAGTTCATGTTGTGTCTTTGAAGTTGCTTCTACCACACCCAACCTCTCTAAGAATGCACTTCCTGCATGTGTTTTCTTTTTCAGATAAAAATACAAAATGAGCAATAAATGTGGGAAACACGCTGCTTTTTCCATCCCCAGAAGCAGAAGGCATTTCTTGTAAATCATGAATTGCCACCTTCCACAACTCCAGCCAAATGAGTAGTCCACAAAAATCAAAAAGCAACCCTTTCCTGAGGTTTGGCTTACTTAGACAAACAAATCAAAAACATCCTGGGAACAAAGCTCCATGAGTCTTAATATGCCTCCTCAGACCAAAGCCAGAGTCTCTTCTGTCTCCCTTCCAGCCAGGCAGATAAACGATGCGCCTGTATCCGCATCAGTAAAAGCCATTCAGTAGTTTCCCAGCATCAGAGGTTTTCAGATAAACACTATTAGCCTTCTAAATATCTAATGTCACTTACCTTTCAGTAAAAAAGGAATGTCTAATAATTATTTATATCACATCAGATACACCAGAACTTCCCAATACCACAAGAGAGAAAAATGAGTCAGTTATACTTGGAATAAGGATGCTTCTTTGTGCATGTGAAATTTTCTAAGCTCTTGAGGAAACAAAATTAAGTTACAGGAAAATTAATTTATTTTCAAACTCTTCAGTCTCCCCCCATTAATTTTCTAACTTGGAGTGCCAGGAGTGACTCTCTAAGACACTGAGGGATCTGCAGCACAAGCATTACCGACAAAGCACAGCACGTTAAATGCCCGTCACCCCTTACCCTGGCACCTCTTTTATACTCAAGCACTGCAGTCAGATCTGCAGGCAAGAATATCTCATCAGCAATTCCTTTTCTGGGTAATCATCTTTTATAAAGAAAACGGACATGGAGTGGAAACAGTACTCTTGACTCCTCAAAGACATGAGGTAGTTTCACTTCCAGCAACAGGGTTTTTCAGCACCTCCGACACAATCTGGCCCAACCAGTTGTTCACATAAACAGCTGCCACTTTATCATTGCATACCCTAACTGGGAATTTGATCCTGTTTCCAGTCCCTATCATTTTTTCATGTTCTTTCATCTGCTACACTATTTACAGCTTCCAGGGGCCAGATTTTGCAGAGAACAGGAGCAGATGAGAACACCTACCAGCACTCGCCTGAAGCACTCAGCTGACTGAAGATGAGTTTTCTACATTTTCTTCTCACGAAAGGTGCAACAGAGTCAGCAGAGCCAGGTCAAACCCATGAACCACTAAGAACTGAACCACAATGGTTGAGATACAGGGTACAGTCTAGTGCAGTATAACGTCTGCCACAGTGACTATTAGCAAATCCCCAGGGAAGATCAGGGCAAGCTTGTATGACTGTACAAAATTCGCCCAAGTACCATCCCTGCACCTTTCAACAGAGGTGACTGCCTCATACAGTTAGGCTGTGCAGTAGCCCTTCACAAAAGGGTCTTTCTTCCAAGTACCTGCCCAGTCCCTCCTTGAATCAACACGCTCCTTGCTTCTACCACATTCTTTGACTATCTCACAAAGAATCACATCCTGCTGTCTGCTTTGCACTTGACATCTTAATACCTCTAAGTTTTATACTGGAAGGGACAGCGATCAGTTAATCCCTATCCAGTTTCTCTGGCCAGTCGTCACTTTGCAGATCTGTCCTATCTGCAAATGTCATCACATTTCTAGAATGAAGAGTCCTAATCTACTTGGCTGCCCTTTGTAGGGAGGCTCTTCCACACCTCCAGGCCTGCTCCAATTCAAAAACACTTTCGCACAATGGGATACCCTAACTGCATGCAGCAGTAAGGTGGAAGGAAACATCACATTTATATAGTGGCATGAAAACTTCCCCCTCCCAGTTTCTTTCCTACAGACTTAGTGATTTATCTCTTTTTTGACTGCTGCTGAGCACTGAGCTGGTAAGATACCAAGGACTGCCTGTCATAAAAGTCCTGGCTCTTGCAAGGTCATGATCAATTCAGAGTGCATCTTTTCGTGACACTGGGACATTCTCTCCCCATATGCATGATTTTATTTAGATTTTCACGTGTGTTAATTGCTTGTACCTGAACTGCAAGAATGGAAGTCAGACAAGGAAGTCATGGGGAAACAAGGCTGTCAAGAGCACTACCATTTCTCCAAGCATATAGTGAAAACAGTCCAGAATAAGAGACCTTCTGTGAAAGAAACCAATTGCTCATGTGAGTATCTGCAATTTGGACAAATAACTGGACAACTCTTCCCATTTGGGGCACAGCTATCAAATACATAGGCAAACCACAGAGCACATGGCCCAAAAGGCCCAAGCACCAGCTACAAAAAAAGGCATCAGACAGGAGGAAGCACCAACACTGGTATGGAAAGACCACTTCATTTCATCCTTTGCAAATGGACCTTCGCCAGACTCACATCACTGCTTTTCACACAATTCCTCAGTGTTGTTAATAATCGGATATTATAGGATAAAGCACAAGGCTGAACCAACGCATCTCAAACCTGTTTTCACCAATACATATAACAGACAGTAACCACAAAAAACTTTAATTAACATGTTTATTCAAACACAAGTTACATGAGACCTTCCAAGAAATACATCATAAGTAGGCCTCAGCATATCATTTTTCCCCCACTTAGCTTGTCTACAAGACATACTTTGTCAAAACAGCACAGACTAATTAAATGATCACAGAAGAGAACTGCACAGGATGCAAAAAACAGTTTAAGAGCAAAGACACCATAGAGAGAACATTACTGGATTACAGCTTAGCATGGATTGTTCCAAAAGTGACAGGAAGTTTTCTGACAGAAGACAAGTATACAACATCACTAGTAAACATTTTGCATTAATAGTCATAGTTATTAAAAACAGAAAATGTTAACTTCAGATATTACTTGGCTATCTGCTGTACCTATAAGGTAAAACCATAAATGGACTAACTCTGCTTAGGAAGTGAAGAAACACTAAGTCTCTAGAATTAACTAGAGTCCAATTCAGCAAACTACTTAGGCATGTGCTTAAGTCCTACTGACACTAGTGGGGCTTACACATATTTAAGATTATAATGAACAAGAAATTTCAGCATGCATCTAAAGTTAAGTACATGCTAAATACTTTCACTGAATCAGGACCACATTCCTCAAAGCATGACAGTTCTATACACTATAGAAGTCATATTTCTCCCTTAATCTACCGCCCTGTCAAAAAAAACCTGTACTGGGTACAATAAAAACTGATATTATCCAACTAAAGCAGCAAGGCTTTTTGTTATTAACTCCAAAAGCATGCACAAATCAGTGTCAGGGAAAAAAATCTATCTTCACTGTACCTTTGGTTTTCAGTCTTTCAAAAATCAGTACAACTCACATGATTTGCACCAGTATGGTACTAAAACTCCATACGCAATTCGTAAGTTCAAGATCAAGGCACTTGTTTCTTTTCCAGTTCATTCTCCAAGCTATCAGTAAATTCTATATAGCTGTACAACAATGCCATTGACTATACAATCCTGCACAAGATACTGGAAGAAAACTACAAGCATATAAATAAATTTTCAACTTCAAAAACATTTGATTTCTCTTGCACTTAACACTTCAGGGTGATTAAGAACAAAACTCTGCAACGTCATCATCTAATAGCTCTCTAAAAAGGTTTCCTGTAGCATTGTCCTTGCCCAGAAGTCATTCATTTTGCTGTTTAATTAAATCAGTCCTGCTGTAGCTATGAAATCCAGGTATCCAGGCAAAGGTTCCATATACTTGGGAATGAAACATTCCCATCTGCTCAAAGGAATTAGATTTTTCTTATATAACCCACTATATGATAGTGAACAAAATACTTTTGTTTCATAGAAACAACTAACATTTGCCCATACTAGGCAAATGGTCTATTTACAGGTATATCAGGACTGCCTAACTGACAGTGAGTGTAAGTTGCTGAACTCCAAGAAACATGGAGTTTAAAACGGCGACACTCTCTGCTGAATCGCCTTCCCTTTTAGGATACGTCTTATCTAGAAAAAGAGAAAGACAAAAGATTAGTAGTCATCAACCTCAAGTATGTTGTATCTGAAAAGACATGAGAGACCTAGAGGCTCAATTCTGCATTCCTCATTTAAGGCCAGATTCAGAGTTCGGTTGTACCAGAACTGACCTAATTTTTCATGATTAGACTCAATTCAAGGAACCAGAATTACTTAGTTACTTAGCTTATTAGATCCAGAGTCATCTTTTTGCTATATATTTATACAGCTTTAAGAAACAGGGATTTTCATCTGTGATTCAAGCCTAAGAACTGCTGTTAATCACCACAAGAACAGCAACATGATCACAGGCCATACTGAGACTAACTAGAGAAGGAAGATCAGCTCCTATGTGCTGCGAGGTTACATAGTATAACAGTAAAAAGCTTCGGAGATGAAAAAGAGCTGTAAGTGAATTCTGTAATTTCAAGTTTGTTTTTAACGCCAGGATCAGATAAGATGCAAAGAATCCTGAAGAAAATAGCATTTTCCAAGCCTTCTCTCTAAAAACTAGAGCTCAAAACCTAGAAGGGGGTTTTGAGGGGAATAAGGCTTGTGCATTGTTTAGGGAATAGGAACAGAGGATTCGTTGTTTTGGGGTTACTGTTGTTTTCTTTGTTGTTTGCTTTTGTTTTTACCTGTTCTCCTACAAGGCCATCAGGAACCAGATGAACTGGCTGCTCATTCTCCAAGTTTCTGGCACTCGGATCAGCTCCCTTTCGCATTAGCAGACGAACAGCATCCAACTGACTCACCCGATACTGCAGACTGGCAGCCACATGTAGTGCTGTGTTGCCATTGTAAGCCTAGAGAAGACAAATACTATGAAGGAGAGGTAAGGGCATGAGTCTCAGCATACTCAGTGCCATACATATACACATCCTGGATTATTTCTGCAGCCCAGAGAATCACTATACCTTTGCATTAACAAAAGAGAGACAGTTGGGCAGCTCCAGAAAGAGACGAATGAGCTCCAGGTTTGCTTCTTCTGCTGCCAGATGTAAAGCTGTACGACCACTTTTACGATCCTATCAAAAAAAAGAAACTGTTAGTGTTTTCTGCAGGTGCTTCACCTATCCAGGGGGAACCCACAGGCAAATAAAATAGAAGGCAGAGTAACCATAAAGAGCTCTTGTGGGCAAAACTTTCATTGAACATATTTGCACTGTAGTTCACTAAAAACCTATCTGACTTTATAGTTTAATAACCATAGCTAATTAACAATGGATAAAGTCTCACTTAGCAGTGAATGGATATAGCCAAAACATCAAATGATATACCAAGTAATGGTTTGGCCCAGCACGGACCTAATTGGACAAGGAAGCAGTATTTAAAATTCACAGTTCAGGAACAAGGTATCAGCACTCTATTACAGCTGATACCACAAAGTGCCTCCAAAGATTTTCTGAAGACAGAATCAACTGCAACCAGCATACCACTACTCTTAATCCAGAAATTAAACTGTCACCTTCTTTCCCCATAGCTCATGGGCATTGGTAATACTTCATCGTCCTGAATAAATGCAGCATTCTCATTCTACTCAGGTAAACTATGCTATAAGGCACTTAAAAAGCTTTCAAAATCGTCTGCTTCCTTTGTAATAAATAGGCTCAGACATAAGGCAGGAGAAAGGGACATGGTCAGCTTCCATATTCTCTCAGGAGCTAGCTCTCTGTAGAGAGCTGCGTTCTTACTTACTTTTGCTTCAACAGAGGCTCCCATTTGTATTAGAGTCTTGATGGTTTCTACTAGGCTTTTGTTTCTCAGCAGAAGCTCCTGAACCTCTGGAGAGTGAGGTGGTTGACTGTTTTGCAGCTCATGCAGCACAGCATTATGCGCCAGAACAGCACAGTGTAACGCTGTCAAACCTAAACATTAAAATTCACCATTAACGAAGGATGCAGAACTAATTGACCGGCTGCTTGTTTTAAAAGGACTGCTAAAAGAGCTTCTCCCCCTGCCGAGACCAGAGACAGTTCCACATTAAGTGATGACTGCTCCTGAATGGCTCAGGATTTGGGCTGTCAGTCACTGAAGTTTAGAAGAACCTACTGTGAGCTCTCAGCCAGCACATAATGAAATAAAGTATGTTAAGTTTGTACGTACGTAAGTGAAGTTTAATTCTAAGATGTACTTTAGAAAGAGTCATCACATGAAGAACTTCAATTCAAACAACTCTGTTGCCAGAGATTCTGAATCCACTGCTATATCTTTGGTACTCAGACATTTTAAACAGTGGCCCATTATGACCTATCCTCTCCATGAGAAACATCGCAATTACTCACTAACAGAAGAGGGGAAGAGGAAAAAGGCCCTGGCCATGTTTATCTGATATGCCATTTGTAATATAATTTCAATTGTAATTGCAAACAGCAACTTGGCAAAGATACTCCATTTTATTGCTTCTCACCTAGGATAACATTCATGAGCAGCTATAAAATACTATAACATCCAGTAACTCTGTAAATTATAAACTTATAGCTACTCACCATCATAATTTGTTGCCTCAAGGTCCACATATTGATTGCTTCCCATGGCTCCCTTTTGGATTGCCTGCAAAAGTAGGGAAGAGAGGTATTTAGATCTACGGAAACCACATTGTTTCTACAAGCCTGTATAGCGTCTCACTGCAATGAAGTTGCAATAAGTAATAGTATTAAGAGACTTATTTATTGTTTTAGTATACTGCGAGATTCCACCAAATTAATATAAAATGGTGGCAAGAATCTTAAATTCAACATCACTTTAAGCCATTACTCTGGAGCCCTGGAACATATTTATAATGCCACACAGTGAAAGATATGGGGAGGTGTGGCGTTTTCAGAGTTTTCCAAGACAACTACTACAGGGTTAAGCATCATGGGTAGGGAACAGCTACACCATCTGTCTGATCCTTACCTGAAGGACCTGGGCATGTCCCTTCTCAGCACAAACATGCAATGGTGTTCTACCCCAGCAGTCTGTGGTGTTGACTTGAGCCCCCAAGCTAACCAAGTCCTGCACAATGAGATGCTGATTGGCAGCCACAGCCACCTGGAAGGCACTCTGCAAACATTGAGAAGAACACAAGCTATTAGTCACCTGATCTCTAACAGGAAACTGTAACCAAAACAAATAAAAATCCTAGCTGCCTGATATTATTTAAGCAGTGATTACAAATACCAGGAAACCAGGACAAATGAAGTTGAGTATAGTTTGACCAGCTCAAGGTGATCCCCCAAAAAAGTATCAATAGCTCAAGGATAATACTAGTCTGTAGGCTAAATCTCAGGCTCAACATTAAATACGCATTTGGCCACACTTTCCTCAAGGTCCAGACACACCAAACTCAGGTGCACAGAACAGGTGCAAAATACTGAGAGCCTCACCTGGCCATTGTGCTCTTTAATATCCAGCATGTGCAGAACAGCCATCTTCCTCGCAAGAACATAGGAGAGAGCTCGTCGGCCCTGGGCAACAGCAATGTGAAGGAAGCTGCAGGGAAAAAGGGAAGCAGTTACACATCCATATAAGCAGGGGTTCAAGTCATTACAGATCCAAGTGTGCATTAAAGGAGGTGTGTTAACACTGCCAGCCTCAGATACCTCATTCAGGTGACTAAGATGGGAAAACAGGCACCTTCTTCCCAGGGCAATTCAAAGCATCTAAATTAGAATCTTTGTCTCCCTTTACTAGATAAAAATCTAACAGTAAGTGCCTGAAATTAGATGGTACAAACATCTTATCTACTAAATGTGCTGCAACTCTGTGCATCACAGCTTGTCAGCAGGACCATGCGTTTCATTCGATTACAGGAACTATTGCGCTCAACAAATAACGTTAATGAACGGCTTCCAATACAACTCAATGATCCACCAGAAGCTGAACAGGAATACTCCAACCTTCTACTTCGGAAGGCTGCTCAGAAGCCCTGAGATAAAACAGTACTCACGTGTCTCCATCAGAGTCTTTTGCAAGGAACTGATCTTGAGAGATATTAGCCAGTTTGTTTTCCTCCTGCTCCACTTGCCATTGAAAAAATGATTTGCCCAGCTGTGCTGTGTTTCTAACAACGTTTTGGTGCGGTAAAGAGACATTCAAAGTAGCCAAAGAGACACTGCGTTCAAGACTACCACAGATGTTACTGGGAACCAAGCTGAAGTTTGGAGTATGGGTGCTGACATCAGCCTGTGGGTGAGCACCGGTCAGAGGCTGCAGGGGAGCAGATACATTCTCTGAGCCTTCAGAATCATTCAGGAGAGAGGAGAAACTTTGTGGTGGACAATACTGCAGTTCATGGCTCTCAAAGGTATTCTGCTGGTAGGTAGGAGACTGGTCATTGGCAGAAAAGGGCCTGTACTCCAGGGATGGATCCGAAGTGTAATTCTGTGACAAATCCTGGTTCTGCGACGCAGAAAACTGGTAATGCTGAGGTGCATCAAGCACATGCTGGGAGGTGTGTTCTTGGAAAGCTTGGTACTTCTGGGATGGGGAGAAAGTCTGTGTTCCTGGGCTGTCTTGATATTGCTCCCTGGGTGAGTTATGGTTAGAGACAGGGTGCAACCAGCTAACCTGTACTGTATTTAAAGAAACAGGGCTCGATTCGTTCTTAATGTTTATGATGTTCTGAAGCAGATCAGAATTGCTGTCATGCTTTGGTTCATTTTTATGAGTCTCCTCCATGCTGTCCACAGAAGTTGGTGTCTGGGGTGGTGTCTACCAGAAAAATAAAAAAACAGAAAGTTGGCTACTATTTAGCTGGCAATTTCTGGTTACACAAAGCAAATAAAGCTGCAGTAAAATTAAGTTTACCAGGAGGTGTGGGTGAATAGTAGCTTGGCGTTTGTAAGAAGGTCCATCAGAAAGGTGCTCGGGAGCCTTTCTTTTGCCGCTGTGGCCAAGTATGCTCTTGAGCTCTGCTGAAAAGAAAATTAATGTAGTATCCACTTTGAGGTTACTCTTACAGTCTACTTTTAAAATATTATGGAGCATTTAAAAAAGGTTTTGTACCTGTGTACTGTTCGTAGTTCAATCCTCCTTGTGTCTGTTGAGAAAAATTCAAATTATTCCATTATTATAATGTTACTTCAGGAATAAGAAAGCAAAAAAGCAGAGGTTTGCTTCTATAAACATAGAATATACCTTAGAATAATTCTAAGGCATGATTTGTTTAACCTTAATTAAAAGTAATTACATTAAAGTTGGAAGGAAAAGAGGAAGAGTTTTATGGAACTTGAATGAAAACCATCATTTTTCTTAGGGCTTTGAGCTATTTCTTGTAACACGAAAGAATTCAACAAAATCTAGAGAAAAGACACTGCTCCTTAGTGAGGTCTAAGGCTTTGATGTAAGGAAGCCAGCAAATTTCATCCTGCTTCAGTACTGTGAACTTTTCGTGCATGGAAAATCCTCTACAGCAACACTTATCTCAGAAGTCGAAACACTCACTCGAGAAAGTATTCTAAAGAAACCCCTCCTTGGATCTTCCCAGCTTTTCCTCACATTTCCTGCTTTTATCTTTCCAGACTGGGCTCTGCCTTCACACTATATGCCCTGTTCAGCATGGAGGAGTGCAATAGCATGACAAGCTAGTAAGCGGTTCTCTTCTGAGAAAGTTCCCTACTCTTGTAATGAATGACCTCACATGAGTTAACAGGGAGTTTTCGTTGTTTCACAATACCAACACATCTATTTCAACTCCCTTTGGAAAATAAAGCATAGCAAGAACACTACTAAGTGTCTCCCTTTCGCACAACAAACCCTCTTACTAATTTCTTCCTGGCTCTTTCTCCATTATGCATTGAAAAGGAAAAACATTGACTGCATCCACATCAGATAACACTAAGAACAAGTTCACTGTTTTATCATATGCCTTTTTCGCCAGCTTCAGGAATCATTAAGCCCAATGATGTCAGCACTGAAAAATGCTCATTACCTTGCATTCATCAGTAGCAGAGCCTGCGGACATCTGTTTGCTGCTTCTGAAGTGCAACAGCAGTTCTTTCACCGAGTTCTTCACACGGACCCCCTGGAAAGGTCCTCTGTGTTGCTTTCCTCCCCCCATGTGTTGATCAACTGCTGAGACATGGAACCAAAACAAGATTTAAGCCACCAAATCAATGTTCATTAAAAGAAAACAAATATCAGAAACACCTACGGACAATAATCTAGAACTTTGCTTTCAACTGAGAAGAGAGAACCCCTTCAAAACAAGACAGTGCTGCAAAGAACTCTTATCCATTTCAGAAGTGTGGAACTTCCTTCTGTTTAGTCCGTCTGGAATCTCTCCTAGACTCTTGTTGGTAAAGAGCTGGAAATATCAAACACAGGCACTATATTTACATTAATGCTTAAAGAATATTGAATTGCTGAACTAACTGCTTTTGCCTAATATGAAACTAGTATTTTTAATTACTCTTGGTTTTGATGTCCATACTGGATGAGATCCCCTCCTTTCACAAGCATAACACTCCCCCAGGTGATCTCCCCTGTTTCATAACTTCTCCAAAATCAGATCCATTTCAAGGCTTTAAAAACAGAAGTGAAAGACCGGAAATTATGACTTCATGCACTCAACTCGAGTCAGGAAATAATGTGACTCAAGAAGGAAAGTACAAGGTTTGACTGATAGATATTATACACACAACCACACACAAGGTATGTGCTATATGCCCATATATATATATACACACACACTTGCACATTCAGATCTGAAAAGAAAAACAAACTAATAAACCTCAGAAAATTTCAAAACATGCAAGGTTAAAGATCAAAGTTCAAGCCCCAAAACACAGAAGCTTCTGACAGCAAAAAAATAAAAGGACGTGAATAATCTCTCTAGGGGTTCCCTGGTTCCCTTGCACCTCACCATAGCAACCACCTCATCACGGGGCCTAGGAATATTCCCTCAACGGGAAAATAAACGTAACCCACTCATAGAAAGCCTTTTTTTTTTTTTTTAAAGAAGCTAGTTGGCTTTGGGGGCTGGGGGGGAGGTTGTCAAGCAAAAACCTCACTGCAAACCGACCCACTAAAACCAGCC